TATTTATCTCTAAAGGGTCATTTGCATACTTTATCTCTAAAGGCTTTCATAATGTCGCAACCCTCTCTTGAACGTCTTGCATGAAAATCCCCAAATCTTCACACGATCTTGAAGGACACACCTGCAGTTTTTCCGGATGAAGACCCATACAAATCTCAACCCAATATCTCGGCTACACAAGAACCCAATTGGATCTTATCAAGCCTTCGCCTATCTGGCACCCCAACAAAAGATTAATATGTGTGATTTGCCTGTGTGTAGACATAGGATGTAGGTTGAAGATGATGAGCAAATGCAAGCTAATTTTATGGTATCACCAGTTTGGAAAGAAGCATGAATGATGTATTTATAGTTTTGGAAGATTGGTGGCAAAAAGGTAAACTTAGGAGAGAAAAAAATAGAAATGGCCAACTTAAACAACATGTGCCTTCCTGAACGTTGGATATGCTGACACATACTATTAAAAATAACATCATGTGTCGACCTGAAATGATTCATATGCCGAGCCAAATGAAATAGAGCTTACAGCCTTATTTAGGACAGTAGATGTGCTGGCCTGAAACACGTATGTGCCGACCCAAATGAAACAGAAACTATAGCCTTATTTAGGACAGTAGATGTTTTAGTCTGAAGCACGTATGTGCCAGCACATAATGGTAAAACTTTTAGTATGTGCCTACCTGAAAAAGGTGCGTGTCGACCAAAACAAGACATAAGCTACAAACTTTAATATTGAGTTACATGTACCGATCTGAAATGTGTATGTGTCGACACATGTAATGCATTTTTGTCCAGAAATCTATTTTTCATGTTTTTGGGCAAGTTCAAGGTTGTTTTTGATGATTCCTAAAACCTCTAATGTAAGGGAGCCACACATACTCAGAGCTACAATTCAATATACCAGAATGCGAAGTAATTTCACTATTTTGACATCATGTAAAACATCTCATGGTGAAATTGCACTCACAAAAGCAGAAGGAACATGGACAATAAGGTGTTTGGGAATGATTTGAGTGTATCCGAACTGTCGCATGACACACTCAGGCAGATGACAAGCAGTGAGATGCGATCTGCAGGCCAACCTTTTGTAACCTGAAATTTGACCTCCCCTTTCGTTGTTTCATAAGCATGTGCATTCACATTGCTGGCATACGAATTCACACTTTTGTCTCTGTAATTTTTTTGTTGCAGCAACATTCAGGTTTTACAAGCTCGATTAACTACTTCCTCTCAAATACTGCCAACTTTGGGTTAGTAACCTTTGTTCGATTCGAATACCCTTTCCTTCGGTCGAGTACTATTTATTCAGTCAACATACCGTTCTTTGAGTCACAACCTTTGTTTGGTTCCACACCCGTTTTTGGTTGATTACCGTCCTCCGGTTAAAACCAACTTCTTTCTTTTTCTTGGTTAATCATTGTTTATCAGTTAATATACCGAATTCTTCCCAGAGTCCAACACCTCCCTTTGGTTCAGTACTCTCTTTCTTCTGGTTCGTCGCAGTCTATTAGTTGGTACCATCCCTTTTGCTCTCCCCGCAGAGTTTTACTCTTATCTCTCTTCGGTTAATCACTGCTTGTCAATTAACGCATCAAACTCTCTACAGATCTTACCTTTTACTTTGATTCTTGTCCCTTTTTCTCTGACAATGTCACCATCCTTTCGTTTTCTCCCCGGTGGAGTCACTTATATTCTTTAGTATTCCCCAACGGAGCTATCACTTTTCTTTTGCGCTCCTCACCAAAATTTCCCTTTGTTTTTCTTTCTTGGTTTTGACACCACTTCTCTTGCATCCCCCAATAGGGTCTTGCCACCTCTTTTCGTTCTTGGATTTGATGCCGTCCCTTTTCCTCTTTTTAGCGTTGGTTCCCTGAACTACGTAGGCTTTGATTTCCTCATTGCATTATGAGGGTACATGGGCACAAGATTGCAAAATCTTGGCGATCCACCTTCCTCCGTCTTCTTCCATTCTTCTATCTCTCTGGTCCGCCCAGATCCCTTTTTTTCCTGGTTTCTTGAACTACAGAGCTCTGACTTCCTCATTTGCACAATGAAGGTACGTAGACACGAGGGCCCCAATCCTCCGTGAGCATGTTCTTTCTCTTTCTTATTCTGTTCTTTTCTCCTTCCTTTTCTCTTAGTTAGAAGCCTTTATATAGATAACTCATCCAAGCCTATAAGGAAGCAAAATGGTTACCGTCAGGTACGAAAGACGCTTAAGGTAATAGTACGTTCCTTTCGCATAACCGACCCCCTTTTCCGTTTCTATTCCCTTTGGGTTTTATCGATATTTTGCATGTCCTTTGGGACTAAATAAAGTTCAGTGGCAACTCTGTTGTATCTTTGAGTATGCAATTCACTCTAGTATAATCCCGCTAGCTTCACAACCATCCTGAGTATAACATTATCTCATCAAATGGTTGTGTCTCACGATGATCAACATAACAATTAAAGTGCATGTCCTTGGTAACCAAACAGTAAAGATACGCTCTAAAAGGCTCACTCTCTTGGTTCCCTTTGAAGGGAGAAAAAGCATTAGCATGAGATATATCCTCATAGTAAATTGGTACATTCTCCCAACTGAAGATGTGTAGGAGGTGTTGGAGGATCCAAGCTTGAAATGAAAAGGGTGAAGAAACATTAATAATGGTTTTGCAAAATTGAAATGGAAATGACAAAGAAACATTGAAAGACCAATAATAATGCTTGTGACCTACTTTATCTTCCACATACAACCCTCTCCCAACCTCGAGAACAGGTAGACCAAACAAGCGGTGCCCCTGTTATACTCATGGATCAGATCAAAATCCTTGAAGTATCAGAGGTAGATGAAATTTGTATAAGTGACGCTCTTGTCCATAAAAATTGCAGTGTCAAGCAAATATAACATGTATGCTCTCATAGCATGCGATCTATGGAATGCCACATGCTCATCATCATCTATAGGTTGTAGCCTGCTGTGCTCTCAGGATCTCAGTCGCATATACCTTATTAAATTATTAAAACCTAGCATGAACACCCCTGGTTTTATCGAACTCCTCATTCGCCTTCCTTGGATAATTCCCTAGATAGTTTACCATCATTTTGAGTGCCTCATCTTTGGTAATCCTCCCATGATCTAGAATTCTCCCCATAATCGGAAGATGTAGGAAACACGAAACATTGTCAAATGTGATAGACATCTCACCATGTGAGAGATGAAATGACGGGGTGTTAGAGTGTCATCTCTCCATGAATGCATTAAGCATCTCATGGTTCACCGTAGTATAATCGCTCATGCACAAGTCCTTCAGGACAAATAAGGACAAAAGTGCCTAAAACCAATCCTCATTCGGCTGAGGCAAACTAGTAATCTTGCGCACGTGGTTAATAAAATTTTGCGGATCACGCTCCTAAAAAAACAAAAATCAAAGTCATAAATGTGTCATTTAAAATAACGTAAATAAAAAAGAATGAATCCAACTAATGCTACCTCTCTGTCCCAAATATGTCTGGTAGTATGGTCTGGGTACAGAGGCAGTAATGATAAATCAGTAGGTGAATCACGTCTTCTACGGGAAGAAGAAGATGAAGTAGCATGCAGAGAAGCACGAGCCCCAGAAGTAGATGGTTCTGCATGGTCAGAGGGACTAAGAGCCTCCGAAACCTCCTGACTATTCTCTCGCCCCACTAATGTGTGATGTGCTATCCTTCTGTACTTCAGTATATCGTGTCTATAAGCCATTATGCCTGTAAGTTAAAGTAAAACAGACAATTAGTGCAGACAAACAACACCACAAGCAAGAAAATAAAAAATACTGAGAAAATTCCAAAGATGCATCTCTTGAATCTGCATCCCAGAGCTGCGTCAATGGCGGCAATGTACCTCATGTAATAAAAAAAAATGATTTGAACATCATTTTCAGCCAACAAATGTGTAATATAGTATGTCTAAACCATGATACATGCAATTTCTACTCATTTATAACCTTAATCATCAATTTCTACTCATTTACACAAAAACTCAAAAACTTATCAAAAACTCAAAAAACTTACAAATTTCAATTTTCCTTCCGGGTTGGATGATGTTTTCGATGTTGATTGAAGTTCCTTGAGCTTTGTTGATTGATTTTTAACTTGGTGATGAGAATTTTTTTTTGAGAGAGTTTGAATTGATTTTTAGCAATATGAGAAACGATGAATGAGAAGGGTCTAGCACGATTTAACCTCCAAAATATTTTGGAGATGCATCTTCAAAATATTTTAACGTTAAATGAGTATTTGGCGCGTCTGAAGATACATCTTCGAAATCTGAAAATATTTATGTATTTTTGCATCGTAGTTTAAAAACATAAAGAGTGCATTAAAAAACTCCCTAATTATTTAAATTTTAAATTGGACCAAAACAATTATGAATACTTCAATAAAATTATTACTATATCTCTTTTATTTAGATTGTTTACTTTTCAATAAAGTTATTACTATTTCTCTTTTATTTATACAATTTACTGCTCTTTTTATTATTTTATAAATTATTTTTTACTTTTCACACGTATTAAAAAATATAATAATTATGATATAAAAAAAATTAACAAAGGTTTTACAAAATTGTCTTTTATTAGTGATATTGAAAAAACTAATTTATATAATTGAAAAAAAAAGAGAATAATAAATATTTAAAATTATAATAAAAAATAGGATAAGACTAACGTGTGCTTGCATAAATTAAAAATTAAAAATAAAAATTAAATATTAGAAATTGTTCACTGTTTTTAATAAAAATATAAAATTTAATCTTTTATTAATGTTTTCAATACAAACTTCCTACAAATGTATTTTTTAACTTTTGCCCTTAGCATTACCCTTTAATCTATAAAAGAAAAGAAAAAACTTGAATTAAGGTGAATAGCCATTCATTTGTTTCAAACTCAGTTTCCCTTATCCATTCTGTGATATACTACCTTTTCTCCAAACTCACCCATGAATCTCCAACTACAACTGCAACATCATCGTCATTATCAATGACTACATTTTCAACTAAATTCTTGTCACACACTCTCAATTTCAGAATCCACCCAAACCGCATTTCTTGCCATTCAAATCCCAACACTATCGTCACTTGCTCAACCCCACTTCTAAACGAAGGTAACACTAACAAGCGAAGAACAAGAATCAACCAACAACAAATCAGGGTCAATGAAACAAGGCCAGAACTTGATCAAAATTACGACTTTCGAGACACCGATTCCTTGAAAACTCTCAATAGGTTATGCAAATCAGCCATGTACGATGAAGCTCTCTACTCTCTTCAGCACACGGTTAATAGGGGTTATAAACCTGATGCTGTTCTTTGCACAAAATTGATTAAGGGTTTTTTCCACTCTAAGAAAATTGAGAGAGCTATTCAGGTTATGGAGATTCTGGAAAAGCACGGTGAGCCTGATGTTTTCGCTTATAATACAGTTATGAATTTGCTTTGTAAAGCTGACAGAGTTGATGCTGCCAATAAGGTGTTTGATAGAATGAAAAAGAGAGGCTTTTTACCTGATGATGCTACTTATAATATTCTCCTTAAGAATCTTTGTGGGAAGGGTAAACTTGATTTGGCTTTAAAGGTTATGGACCAGTTGTTGAAAGATAATTGTAGGCCAGATGTTAAAACTTATACTATTTTGATTAAAAAACTTATTATTGAGGGTGGTATTGACCAAGCTATGAAGCTTTTGGATGAGATCTTGTCCAGAGGATTTCAACCTAATGCCTATGCTTACAATGTTGTTGTTACCCATATGTGTAGACAAGGTTTGTCGGATAGAGCTTTTGAGTTTCTTAGTAGTTGTAGTAGTAAGGGATATGTTGCACGTGCGAGTACTTATAATATTCTGTTGAAGAGCCTTTTGAGTCAAGGGAAATGGGAAGCTGGGGAGAGTTTGATATCTGATATGTTGGATAAAGGTTGTGAGCCGAGTTCTATATTATACTGCACGTTGATTAGTTCGCTTTGTCGTGATGGTAAAATTGACAAGGCTCAGAATGTGTTGAAGGGTATGAAGGAGAGAGGTTTCGCTCCTGATGTTTATAGTTATGAGCCATTGATTTCCGCTTTGTGCAAACAAGGAAAAGTAAATTTGGCTATAGAGGTTTTGGATAACATGATATCAGATGGTTGTTTGCCTGATATTGTTTGCTATCACTCGATCTTGGCTTCTCTGTGTAAGAATGGACATGCTGACGAGGCATTGAACATCTTGGAGAAGCTTGATGAAGTGGGTTGTTCTCCAAATGCAAATTCTTATAATACATTGTTTTGTGCATTGTGGAGTATCGGCGATAAAATTAGAGCGTTAGAGATGATTCTGGAGATGTTGAGCAAAGGCATTGATCCTAACATGATCACATATAATTCACTTATTTCTTACTTGTGCAGAGATGGATTGGTGGATCAGGCAATTGAGTTGTTGGTTGACATGATGGAGAGTCGCAAGTTTCAGCCTATTGTTATTAGTTACAATACTGTTATTCTTGGATTGTCCAAGGTAGGAAGAATCATAGATGCTATTGAGGTGCTTGCTGCTATGAATCAGAGAGGATGCTTGCCAAATGAAACTACATACTTATTGTTGGTTAAAGGGATTGGTTTTGGTGGCTGGCAAAAGGACGCAATGGAGTTGGCTAACTCACTTGTTAATATGGATGCTATTTCGGAAAATTCATTCAAACATTTGAACAAAGCGTTTCCTGTGTTTGATGCGCACAAAGCTTGCAATATCAGAATGAACTAACTTCATGGGCATAAAATTGATTTATTCAGGTCTTGTTCTCAATATTTTTTGTTCAATTCAATTAATGAATACCAACTTATTGCTTGCTCCCAATTTGTTTGTTGTTTTAAAGGTTTTTGAAGTTTACACAAATATCAAATGGATGGTTACTTCTGACAAACATGTTATTATGGCTCAACTTGGTTAAACTTGATTTAGATTTATGCAAATATTTGCATAATAGTATTATTAATTGAAGCAAATATTTGCATAATAATATTATTAATTGAAGCAAATATTTGCATACATGAGAATATTAAATACATTAATGTATGTTTGGTTCTACTTTTAGATCAAAATCATTTCTTGATGCATTGAATTGATTTTCACATATTTAAATGTTTTTGTAGGGTCTGTGTTGTTAATGAATGGGTAGGGTAGGGAGTCAGAGGAATTTTAATGGAGAAAATGGGAGGAAGCTGAGAGATTTTTTTTATATATATATGTGATTCAAAAGAGAGGAGGAAACGTGAGAGGGATAGGGGAAGAGATAGATTTTAATTAATATTTGATAGATTTTAATTAAAAATATGTTTGATTCTTTAAGGAAAAAATAAATTTTATTAATAATTTACACTTTTATCATTATCATCTTATATAAATTATATGATACTCAAAATGAAAAATTCATAAAAAAATATATGCATAATTAATTAAACACAATTTTTAATATTAAGTGATTAAAAAAATTATAATTTATCATATAATTCATTCTCTCCGTTCTACTCTTCACTTTAAAAATTTGAATTAAACATATTTAATTAAAAATATTTTCTCCTTTTTTTTTCTTCTTTTTTTCCATTTATCTCAAATCAAACACATTGATATTTGAACTAGAAGAATATTTTCCTTAGCCAATAACAACAACCATGCAATTGTAAAGATCATTTGTATGATAAAAAAAAATATATGTGAAAAGAAATAATTGATAATGTAAAATGTTATAAAAATAATTAATTGATAATGTAAAATATTATAAAAAGAATTACCATAAATAATATATATTGGAAAAATAAATAAATCATTGACATGATATCCATAATTTGATAAAATTATACAATTATCAAATGTGTGAATATAAAACTGTTGCTTTTTATTAAAGACTGTAAATTTATTTAGAGAATTTTTTAATGCATCTTAGATCTCTCTACTGCACCACATGAATTTTTTCAAATGTTTCTTGTTTAAAGAAATATATCTTCAGACACATTTTTTATATATTCAACAAAGACCATTCTGAGAGGCGTCCCATATGTTGAATTTTATTTATTTATTTTGGAGATATAATTTCAGAACCTTTTAAGAATAACTTTAATTATTCAGTTTAGTAGATATTTCGGGGATGCATCTCCAAAATTATGAGCGGCATTTTGAAATTTTCTGTCACCTTTGCATGTCAGGTAATTCTGGAAATGCATCTCCGAAAATATCTGATATAAAATTCAACTGCATGATCACTCCTCCATTATTGACATACTTGATTTTCAACTAAACCCTTCACTCTAAAAACACTCCATTCTCAATCCATTTTTTCACTTCAAATCTCCATTCTTTTGGTTCAACATATCATAGGGAGGAAAAGAAGATAGAATTTAAGGTAAAAATTCTTCTTTCCCCTCTGCATTGATCACATTAATCATCCATTTTTTTTGAAAAAAGTTATGTTGTGTCCAAAAATGTATCTCCGAAATGTGTATGAACTTGTCCGGAGATGCATTTTCGGAAGTTGTCTGTGTTGATTTTTTAAGGCATTTTCCAGCAGTAGTTGACCTTATGTTCTGATATTGTTTTAAAATTGTTTTCATTAGACATGGTGCACCCCGATGTTTTCCCAAAACAAGTTGTTTTTCCGGATGTCCAATGTGTGATTGTTTCTCTGAATGTTCAATGTGTTGTTGTGAAGATGATAGATGTTGGCAACGACTTTAAAAACATGCAAGAGTTTGAATCTCGTGATCAAATTCTTGAATGGATTCATATGAAGGTCTCTAAACTTGGACTTGGTGTGGTTATTGAAAGAAGCAGGAAAATATCAAACTCTTCTTTAGAATTTTAAAAGAGACAACACTGGTACAAGAAAATGTGAGTGTTCGTTTAAGTTTCGTGATTACATGTTGGCAAACAAAATTTGAAGATTTAATGCGATATGTAGTTTGCATAACCATGAATTGTTTCTAAATTAGTCGGTCATCCTATTCTCTGTCGGCTCAAGCCGGAAGAGAAGGAATGTATTGCTGACATGATCTTGAATCTTGTTCAACCAAAAAATATACTTGCAACATTGAAACGAAAATGATCTGACAATATATAAAATATTAAGCTAGTGTATAATATTAGGTACCTCACTAGCAAGGCGCTTATGGGGGATAGAAATGAGATGCAACAACTCTTGAAACTGTTGGATGATAACAATTACATGTTCATGTATCGAACGTGCGATGATGGAGTTATGGTTAGAGATATTTTTTGGACTGATCCTGATTCCATAAAGTTGTTTAACACATTTCCGACGGTACTCATACTTGATTCAACCTACAAGATCAACAAGTATAAACTTCCATCATTTGAGATGGTTGATGTTACCTCAATTGAGAAGACATATTCTGTTGGTTTTGTATTTCTTGAGTGTGAAAAAGAGGACAATTTTACTTGGGCATTAGATGTGTGTCGGTCATTGTTAAAGGTCCAAGGTGAGATGCCTAAAACTATTGTTACCGGCCGCGATACCGCATTGATGAATTATGTTGCAAAGGTATTTATTTCTTCTTATGCATTACTTTGTAGGTATCACATAACAAAGAATGTGAGAAGTCGGGTTAAACCTACGATAGGGACGAAACAGATAGAGTCCGAAGATGGAAAATTGGTGACGGCGGGCGTGGTTGGGGAAAAATAATGGATGCATGGAATCGTATAATAAAATCTTCAGCAAAAGAACTATATGCCGATTCCGTTATTCATTTCAGGAAAGTGTGTGAAAAGTATCCAGATTTGTTGAAATATGTTGATAGCACAATTCTTGACCAGGTGAAGGAGAAGATAATTTATGCATGGACTGATAATGTTAGACACCTTGGAAATACAACAACGAACAGAGTTGAGCCGACCCATGCTACTTTGAAATATTGGTTGGGAAAGAGTAAGGGGGATTTGTGTAGAGACTGAGACCTCGTGAACCACATGATTCAAAACCAACATAATGAGATACAAACAACATTTAGTGGGAGCATCACAATTTTGGAACACAGATTTAAAGACAACACTCTATATTCTCAGTTGGTTGGTAACATTTCTCGAGCGAGTTTGAACTATATTTTTCACGAGACTAAAAAAGATGATAATGTAGGCTTCAATAGCGTAAAGTGTGGATGCACAATTGTGAAAACATATCGTCTCCCATGTGCTTGTGTTATTGCTAAAAAATGAAACTTGGTGAACTAAGAATGGACGAGGTTTACACTTATTGAAAGAGACATAGGTTTGATGATGATGGATGCATGGATGATGGTAAATTGAATATCTCTATTTTGATCGAATGAGAAGTGATACAAGAGAGATTTCTAAAGGTAGATGACAACATGAAACTCCACATCAAAGAAAAATTGAGGAAGATTGCCTATTCGAAAACCACTAACATGAAACCACCTTCTCAACCAGTAAAAACAAAAGGTGCTCCAAATAAAATAAAGCCTACACCGAATGACAACTCAAATAAATGGTCTCCTTCATATTTTGAACACGTTGAGAAAGTTTTTCGCGACTCACCAACTCCAAAATCTCAAAAAAGTGTTGTGAAAGAAGCTCACATTATCAAACCACCTCTGACGTCGCTTCCACCAAAGATTCCATTTGAAATTCTAGTGTGCAGATCATAGATGTCCCAAGAGATGTCGAGACATTGATCTCTGCATGACTAAATAATGCCAAAAATAAGAACATCCAAATACTGCAAATACATTACAGTGTCATAACAAATGTTTCAACATCTATCAAGACATATATTTCAGAACATAAGAGCATATTGTATTTAATATAATAGAAAGATAAAGAACACCAAGATATGATGACCCAGTTCGGTGAATAACAACACCTACATTTGGGGGCTACCAAGCCAAGAATAAATCCACTATTAGTAGTATTAATTTATAGCTATACTCACCCGTTTACAACTCCTCACTTAATCCCTACACACTACAATTATATCTACAAAATCACCATCTAGACAAGAGAACCTCATCTCAGTTCCTAAATCACCTCAGTGATATCTAACAGTCACAATCTCCGGTGACTGTATCAAACTATTCAATTGAAAGACACCCCTCTCTATACAAAATTCAGCAAAGACTCTTGACTAACAATAATACTTGAATTTTCTTAATAGCTTCATCCAAGAACAATATATAATCCATTAGCTACAGACTTCTGAATATGTAAAACAATGTCTACCACAATATATCAACTGATACAATGGGTGACTTACAACACAAGAAAGTAAACAACTCTCAAAACCCTAAACCCTTATAATTACTTTACAGGAATTTATTACAAGGTCTACTCTCTCTTATATGCCCTAGGTCTTGGTCTTCCTTTTATAGCCTTCAGCAATCCAAGGGCTTCGAAGTCTCTGTCCAATCTTTCCTTGATCCACATTCTGATTGCACCTTAAATCTTGGAACAAATCTGCAACAAATCTGCTGCACTAGACCAAGATGTCGAGTCCACAATGCTAAGCCATCTTGTCTGACATGTTGTTCTTTACAGATTTCTTCTTGTTGGAATATCTTGTGCAACATCATGTTTTACCAAAATTTAGTCAAATCTTTAGAGCATTCAATCTCCCCCTTTTGACAATTTTGCCTAAAACTCCTTATGCACAATAAACCCAGGAAGTAAGGAGAAGAAGAGTAGAAAGTCCTAAAGTCATTTCAGCCATCCTGTAATGAACCTCTTGGAAGCTTTCA